TAGGGGATCTGAATGCTAAATAAATATGTTATAGTGTATGCTTACGTGTCTTTCTAAACCAACTTGTCGGTATTTATTACCAAGGTTTATACCATGAGTGGAACAGTCTACCTAGTTGGGTTATTGAGGCTAGGACTTTGGGTAGTTTCAAATTTAGGTTGGATAAGTACATGAGTGGGAGGGGTTGGATTTGAGTGGGACTTGCACATCAGAGCTTATTTCTTGGGTAGCATTAAAAATTGGGTGGGTCAAATGTTTGTTAGTGGGATGAATTGTAAAGGACCTGCCTAGTATGGGCCAACAGGCCTGCTGCAGTGTTCCTCCTTTCTTATGTTCTTATGTTCTTAAAGTGGGAGAAACTTTTAGAGAGGTTGTGGTAGGTAAGTTTGGGGTGCCAGGTGTAAATGATAATGGGAGCCCTTTGATTGAACTTAGTATAGAAAGGGGTTTAGTTATAGGTAATACATATTTTAAGAAAAAGAGGATAAATAAGTTTACAAGATATGATATAGGGCGAAATGACAGTAATTTGTTGGATTATGTATTGGTAGATAAAAGACTTTTGAGTAGACTTCAGGATGTACATGTTTATAGAGGGGCCATAGTTATATCAGATCACTTTTTAGTTGTAGCTACACTGAGAGTAAAAGGTAGATGGGATACAAGGAGAATAGAAGCATCAGGGAAGAGAGAGGTGAAGGTTTATAAACTAAAAGAGGAGGCAGTTAGGGTAATATATAAACAGCTATTGGAGGATAGATGGGCTAATGAGAGCATAGGCAATGGGGTCGAAGAGGTATGGGGTAGGTTTAAAAACGTAGTGTTAGTGTTCAGCAGAAATTTGTGGTTACAGGAAAGCGGGTGCAGGAGGGAAGAGGAGTGATTGGTGGAATGATGTAAAGAGAGTAGTAAGGGAGAAAAAGTTAGCACATGAGAAGCTTTTACAAAGTAGAAGTGATGCATGGAGGGAAGAGTATATGGAGAAAAAGAGAGAGGTTAAAAGAGTGGTGAAGCAATGTAAAAAGAGAGCAAATGAGAGAGTGGGTGAGATGTTATCAACAAATTTTGTTGAAAATAAGAAAAAGTTTTGGAGTGAGATTAACAAATTGAGGAAGCCTAGAGAACAAATGGATTTGTCAGTTAAAAATAAGAGAGGAGAGTTATTAAATGGAGAGTTAGAGGTATTGGGAAGATGGAGGGAATATTTTGAGGAATTGTTAAATGTTGATGAAGATAGGGAAGCTGTGATTTCGTGTATAGGGCAAGGAGGAATAACATCTTGTAGGAGTGAGGAAGAGTCATTTGTGAGTGTGGGGGAAGTTCGTGAGGCAGTAGGTAAAATGAAAGGGGGTAAGGCAGCTGGGATTGATGGGATAAAGATGGAAATGTTAAAAGCAGGTGGGGATATAGTTTTGGGTTGGTTGGTGCTATTATTTAATAAATGTATGGAAGAGGGTAAGGTACCTAGGGATTGGCAGAGAGCATGCATAGTTCCTTTGTATAAAGGCAAAGGGGACAAAAGAGTGCAAAAATTATAGGGGGATAAGTCTGTTGAGTATATCATGGAACTCTGTGTTCATCAAGAACTGCAAGAAGCCCCTATCACGAGCCTTTTCCATCCTATGGAGAGGGAGCATGGACACGGGGGTCGTCCCTCAGTTACTAAAAACAACAGACATAGCCCCACTCCACAAAGGGGGCAGTAAAGCAATAGCAAAGAACTACAGACCAATAGCACTAACATCCCATATCATAAAAATCTTTGAAAGGGTCCTAAGAAGCAAGATCACCACCCATCTAGAAACCCATCAGTTACACAACCCAGGGCAACATGGGTTTAGAACAGGTCGCTCCTGTCTGTCTCAACTATTGGATCACTACGACAAGGTCCTAAATGCAGATGTAATATATACAGACTTTGCAAAAGCCTTCGACAAGTGTGACCATGGCGTAATAGCGCAAAAAAATGCGTGCTAAAGGAATAACAGGAAAAGTCGGTCGAGGGATCTATAATTTCCTCACTAACAGAACACAGAGAGTAGTCGTCAACAGAGTAAAGTCCGAGGCAGCTACGGTGAAAAGCTCTGTTCCACAAGGCACAGTACTAGCTCCCATCTTGTTCCTCATCCTCATATCCGACATAGACAAGGATGTCAGCCACAGCACCGTGTCATCCTTTGCAGATGACACCCGAATCTGCATGACAGTGTCTTCCATTGCAGACACTGCAAGGCTCCAGGCGGGACATCAACCAAATCTTTCAGGGCTGCAGAAAACAATATGAAGTTCAACGATGAGAAATTTCAATTACTCAGATATGGTAAACATGAGGAAATTAAATCTTCATCAGAGTACAAACAAATTCTGGCCACAAAATAGAGCGAAACACCAACGTCAAAGACCTGGGAGTGATTATGTCGGAGGATCTCACCTTCAAGGACCATAACATTGTATCAATCGCACTCGCATAAAATGACAGGATGGATAATGAGAACCTTCAAACTAGGGGGGCCAAGCCCATGATGACACTCTTCAGGTCACTTGTTCTATCTAGGCTGGAATATTGCTGCACTCTAACAGCACCTTTCAAGGCAGGTGAAATTGCCGACCTAGAAAATGTACAGAGAACTTTCACGGCGCGCATAACGGAGATAAAACACCTCAATTACTGGGAGCGCTTGAGGTTTCTAAACCTGTATCCCTGGAACGCAGGAGGGAGAGATACATGATTATATACACCTGGAAAATCCTAGAGGGACTAGTACCGAACTTGCACACGAAAATCACTCACTACGAAAGCAAAAGACTTGGCAGACGATGCACCATCCCCTCAATGAAAAGCAGGGGTGTCACTAGCACGTTAAGAGACCATACAATAAGTGTCAGGGGCCCGAGACTGTTCAACTGCCTCCCAGCACACATAAGGGGGATTACCAACGACCCCTGGCAGTCTTCAAGCTGGCACTGGACAAGCACCTAAAGTTTTTTCCGATCACCGGGCTGGGGCTGTACTTTGGTTTGGGCACCAGCAGAAACAGCCTGGTTATCGGGCTCTGACCACCGGAGGCCTTCACAGACCGGCCGCGGGGGTTGACCCCCGAAACTCTCTCCGGGAAAACTCCAGGTAAAGGTTGGAAATTATTATTGAAAGTATTAAATAAGCGGAGAGTAGTGCAAAAAAAAGGAGGTTTTTAGGAAAGGTAGGGGGTGTGTGGACCGGGGGGTGTTTACAGTGAAACAAAAATTTGAACTATTTAATAGGGGCAAAAAAGGGTTTTTTGTGGCTTTTTTGGTTTGGGGAAAAGGCGTATACGGTGATAGGGGCAAGGGCAGATTTTGCAGGTGTAGGGGATAGGAGGTAGGTTACGAAAGCAGTGAAGATTTTTACGAGGATATGAGGCTCAATTAGAGTATTGGGAGAAGGGAGATTATTTCCCGTAAAAGTGGGCCTTAGCAAGATGTTGATATCACCGGGGTTAATATATTTTTAGGGGGGGTTTAAGAGAAAAAATGCGGGGGCTTGGAAAGGGCGGGGATTAAAAAGAAAAACACAAAACGTGGAATTTTGTCACATTTGCTCTTTGCTGTACACGTGCTTTTGGGGAAATTCTAAGAAAAGTTGCAGAGGTTGGGGGATGAATTTGGAAAGGTATTAAATAAGAAAATTAAAATGAATATGGGAAAAGAAAGGGTTTATAGGATAAAAAGATTAGATGATAAAAATTTGGGATATAAATTGGGGGGAGAGAGTAGGAGGAGGTAAGTATTTGATATTTTGGGATTGACTTCAGCGGATGGGGCTATGAAAGATGAGGGGAACATAGAATTGAGAGGGGGAAAAAGGGGAGCGGGGGACTTAGGGTCTTTTAGACTAAAACTTTGTCCTTGGGGGCAAAAAGGGGGAATTTTAAAAGTAAGTTTTCCAAAGCTCTTTTATGGGGGGAAAATTGGGATGAATGTTCAGCAGGAGAAGGGTGGAGGGAGGGGGTGTCAGTCTGAGGAAATGTGTGGTGGAATATAATCAGAAATCTATTTTTAATTAGGGGGGGGCGGGGTTCCAAAACGTTGTCCAGAGGGGTGAGGAAGGTTGTTGAGGGGTTCAGACATGTAAGAGAATGGAGCCCAAAAAGAATCTTTAAGAGTGGACGTCTGTATGGGGGAAGGCGGGGGAGGGCGGGCCCAGGGAAAGGGTTTGGGGGGGGGGGTAAAAGGGGGTTTGTGTCGAGGGGGTTGACTTCCCCCAGGCATGCGTGAGCTGTTTGATAGGAGTGAATGGAGCAAATGGGTTTTAATACTTTTACGTGCTGTTTGGGTGTGAGCAAATAAAATTTTTAAAAGGGGTTTAGGGGGAAACCGGGAGGCCGGGCTTGATCCCCGGGGAAAGGGAAGTACAGTGCCGCACCGAAGGAGGGGGGTTAATGTTCATTTAAAAACTATAGTGTAAAGCACCCTTCGGCAAACAGTGTGGGGTGAAGATGGTGAAAGTTTTTCTTTTTCGGGGACCCTGCCCTTGGGGGGAATCGGCCATGTGAAATAAAAAAAAAAAATAAAAAACAAAGAAGTTTTAAAACATTTTACTCAGAAGTGTGCCGGTGGTTATATTAATGTCAGAAAACCCACAAAGGGGTTTGGGTGGACCGTGTCAGACCCGTCACTCACAAAACAGTTCCAGTCCAAAAAACTAAGAACTTTTTAGGTTTGTTCTTTTCTTTGTTTTGTTATTTTATTAATATGGGAGGTTTTGATAATTTTTTGTTTACGTTTAGACATTTCCTAAAAATCTTTGACTAAGTCCGACTTAGATATCTGGAAAACAACCCTTTTTGCTGGGAAAACAATATGTTATCTAAAATTCATCATATGCACCACAATTAGCTAACATATATCATAGATAAATCTTTCCTTAACATATGCCACAATCGGCAAAATTTCATAACACTGAGATACAGATTACGGATACATTGATATCACCCCATGTGAGGGAAGGTGAGTAATAGTTTATGGGAAAATTGTGGGTTTATCTCAGGTGGTACCACCTCTGCTTCACCTACGACCACCTGCAACACCTCTACAACACATTCATCAATGGGGAGCTTATCTACGAGCTTACCTACGACGTTGATGGTCAAATATATGGAAACAACGTGAGCGTGGGCCAGTCAGGACGTCAGCAAGAGAGCTTTAGTGGTGCTCTCTCACAGGTACGATATATCTTAGTGCTGTAAAACAAATACACACACCAGTATCAGTGGTTACCATACCATGAAAGGTAATGGAGAAGATAATCAGAAGAAGAAGAGTAATAGAGCATTTGGAGGGATGTGGTTTCATGAGCAACAACCTCGGGTTAAGAGACGATAAATTATATCTTGCATATCTAGTGGAGATCTGTGACAGTGACAGATATGAAAGAGAGAGAGAGATTGGTGAACTGTATATGCTAGGGCTGTTAGAAGACTTTTGATACTGTATCTCACAAAAGATTGATTAAAAACTTGAGGAGCAGACAGGAATAACACGGAACGTATTCCATTGGATCAAAGAGTACCTTAGGGAAGGAGACAAAAATTGTTTGCTCGAGATGTCATATATGAGGAAGAGAAGCAAGTGAGCTTCCACAAGGATTGATATGGAGCCACCACTGTCTGTAGGAACTTGTAAATAACATACCAGAAAGAGACTGAATCAGATGTATCCCTGTTTGCTGGTAAGGTAAAACCAATGTACAGAATAAAAACAGATAAGGACAAGAAAGATTATAAATAGATTTGGACAAATTTCAAGTTTGGTCAGATAGTGGTTACTGGAATTTAACTCCATCAAATGAAAGATTATGAAAACTGAGGAACGGGCAAAATAATAGGAAGCTGGGTATAGACTCGGGGACAGAGACTGCAACCCCTCTCAAGGACCCAGGAACAAGAATATTGCCTAGCATATTGTCAGAGGCTCTTATCAACCGAATAACATCTACAACCAATGCTCGTGTGGCAAATCTAAAAGTAGTTCTCAGGAATCTCGGGAAAACGGAAGCCATACTCTTTGGCACGAAACATAAACTGAGAAGGGTAAATAATTTTCATGTCCGGTGTAATGGGGAACCCATCACTTAAGTTTTCTCAGTAAAATATCTGGGAATCCCCTTTGACTCATGTATGTCAGGAGAACTGATAGGGAACAGTGTAGTAAAGAAAGTGAATGCCAGACTGAAGTTACTATACAGACAAGCACAGTGTCTACCTACTGAGGCTCGCAGGACCCTGTGTTAATGTCATATGGGCTACGCTTGCTCTTCATGGCACTCGGCTTTAAAAAAAAAAATGAAAGATTGACTACAAATCACCCAGAACAAAATGGTAAGATTCATCCTGGACCTGGGACCAAGAGAACATGTAGGCCAGGATGAATTACAACAATTGGATATGCTGAATGTTGAAGACAGAGTAAAACAACTGAAGCTAAATCAAGTTTATAAAATTGCTCACAGTGTCCAGAATATCTTGCTGCTAATTTTGTCAAGGTTGGGAACATTGTAGAGCAATAAAGGAATGGAACAGACTGCCTGCACATGTCAAAGCCAGTCATAGCATGAACCAGTTCAAGAAGAGTGCCAAAAGGTACCTAATGAATGTAGCGACAGAGCAGTTCAAGAAGAGTGCCAAAAGGTACCTAATGAATGTAGCGACAGAGCAGTTCAAGAAGAGTGCCAAAAGGTACCTAATGAATGTAGCGACAGAGCAGTTCAAGAAGAGTGCCAAAAGGTACCTAATGAATGTAGCGACAGAGCAGTTCAAGAAGAGTGCCAAAAGGTACCTAATGAATGTAGCGACAGAGCAGTTCAAGAAGAGTGCCAAAAGGTACCTAATGAATGTAGCGACAGAGCAGTTCAAGAAGAGTGCCAAAAGGTACCTAATGAATGTAGCGACAGAGCAGTTCAAGAAGAGTGCCAAAAGGTACCTAATGAATGTAGCGACAGAGCAGTTCAAGAAGAGTGCCAAAAGGTACCTAATGAATGTAGCGACAGAGCAGTTCAAGAAGAGTGCCAAAAGGTACCTAATGAATGTAGCGACAGAGCAGTTCAAGAAGAGTGCAAAAGGTACCAATGAATGTAGCGACAGAGCAGTTCAAGAAGAGTGCCAAAAGGTACCTAATGAATGTAGCGACAGAGCAGTTCAAGAAGAGTGCCAAAAGGTACCTAATGAATGTAGCGACAGAGCAGTTCAAGAAGAGTGCCAAAAGGTACCTAATGAATGTAGCGACAGAAAGGGAGGACAATAATTTTTATTGTTTTTTAGCTAACACACATATAAACATAAATAACTTATTTTACCTTGGCAGGGTGGCCCACCAAGGCAGGGTGGCCCACCAAGGCAGGGTGGCCCACCAAGGCAGGGTGGCCCACCAAGGCAGGGTGACCCACCAAGGCAGGGTGGCCCACCAAGGCAGGGTGGCCCACCAAGGCAGGGTGACCCACCAAGGCAGGTGGCCCATCAAGGCAGGGTGGCCCACCAAGGCAGGGTGGCCCATCAAGGCAGGGTGGCCCACCAAGGCAGGGTGGCCCACCAAGGCAGGGTAGCCCACCCAAGGCAGGGTGGCCCACCAAGGCAGGGTGGCCCACCAAGGCAGGGTGACCCACCAAGGCAGGGTGACCCACCAAGGCAGGGTGACCCACCAAGGCAGGGTGGCCCACCAAGGCAGGGTGGCCTACCGAGGCAGGGTGGCCCACCGAGGCAGGGTGGCCCACCTCTGGCTACCTGATACCCTCGCTTCCTTCCTGCCCTGCAGCGCTGTATAGCCCTTGTGGTTTAGCGCTTCTTTTTGATTATAATAATCTCCAGGAATCAAGCCCGGCCTGCCGTTTTCCCAGAATCCCTTAATAAATGTTACCTTGCTTACACTCCAATAGCATGTCAAGTCCTGAAAACCATTTGTCTCCATTTGCTCCTATCTAACATGCTCACGCATGCTTGCTGGAAGTCCAAGCCCCTCGCACACAAAACCTCCTTTACCCCCTCCCTCCAACCTATCATAGGCCGACCCCTACCCCACCTTCCCTCCACTACAGATTTACACACTCTCGAAGTCATTCTGTTTCGTTCCATCCTTTCTACATGTCCAAACCATCTCAACACCCCCTCCTCAGCCCTCTGGATAATAGTTTTGGTAATCCCACGGCTCCTAATCTCCAAACTACGAATTCTCTGCATTATGTTCACACCACACATTGCCCTTAGACATGACATCTCCACTGCCTCCAGCCTTCTCCTTGTTGGAATATTCACAGCCCATGCCTCACACCCATATATGAGTGTTGATATAATTATACTCTCATATATTCCCCTCTTTGCTCTCACGGATAAAGTTTTGTCTCCACAGACGCCTCAGTGCACTACTCACCCTTTCCCCCCTCGTCAGTTCTATAATTTACCTCATCTTTCATCGACCCATCTGCTGAAACGTCCACTGCCAAATATCTGAATACATTCACCTCCTCCATACTCTCACCCTCCAATCTAATATCCAATCTTTCATTACCTAATGTTTTTGTTATCCTTATCACCTTACTTTTTCCTATATTCACTTTAATTTACTTTTATTACATACCCTACCAAATTCATCAACCAACCACTGCAACTTCTCTTCAGAATACCCCAAAAGCAGTGTCATCAGCAAAAAGCAACTGTGATAACTCCCACTTTGTGTTAATACGTTATCCTTTAACCCCACACCTCTTGCCAACACCCGACCATTCAATTTTATTACAACTCCATTTATAAATATATTGAACAACCATGGTGACATCACACATCCCTGTCTAAGGCCTACTTTTACTGGGAAATAATCTTCCTCTCGCCTACGTACTCTAACCTGAACCTCACTATCCTCGTACAGACTCTTAACTGCTTTCAATAACCCACCTTCTATTCCGTACATTTGCAGCATCTTCCACATTGCCCCCTATCCACCCTATTATATGCGTTTTCCAAATCCATAAATGCCACAAAAACCTCTGTACCCTTATCTAAATACTGTTACTTGTATGTTTCACTGCAAACACTTGGTCTACACACCCTCTACCCTTCCTAAAGCCTCCTTGTTCATCTGCTATCCTGCTCTCCGTCTTACTCTTAATTCTTTCAATAGCTCTACCATACACTTTACCAGGTATACTCAACAGACTTATTCCCCTATAATTTTTACATTTTCTGTTGTCCCCTTTGCCTTTATACAAAGGAACTATGCATACTTTCTGCCAATTCCTAGGTACCTTACCATCTTCCATACATTTATTAAATAAAAGCACCAACCACTCCAAAACTATATCCCCACCTGCTTTTAACATTTCTGTCCCATCAATCCTAGCAGCTTTACCCCCTTTCATTCTACTCACTGCCTCACGAACTTCCCCCACACTCACAACCGGTTCTTCCTCACTCCTTTTTATAAGATGTTATTCCTCCTTGCCCTATACACGAAATCACAGCTTCCCTATCTTCATCAACATTTAACTATTTCTCAAAATATTCCCTCCATTTTCCCGATACCTCCAACTCTCCATTTAATAACTCTCCTCTCCTATTTTTATATAACAAATCCATTTGTTCTCTAGGCTTTCTCAACTTATTAATCTGACTCCAAAACCTTTTCTTATTTTCAACAAAATATGTGATAACATATCACCCACTCTCTCGTTTGCTCTTTTTACATTGCTTCACCACTCTCTTAAGGAAGAGTTGATGCCAGTTATTACAGAGTCGATAAAGAAAATTTACGCAACATAAGGAGAATCCAATACCCGGTTGTTAAGTCCTTACCACGATACCGTGAAACAACACAAAAATGTAATCAATACTCACAAAATACTTGTACCTCAACCTTAATAACAAAGGTAATTGTGTTATTACAGGTTTTGAAAAAGCGAGTGACACTTGCAAACATTGTAGCCGATCGTACATAGCAAAAATTTGTTGAAAATGAAAGCGGGTTCAGCAGTTTTACAGAAATTTTAGAATTATATGCATAATTTTTACAGGGAAAACAACTTTCATTTTATACAGTAAAATGTATTTAAGTGTACAAAATCTTTAAGTCAGATGTTATTGTATCACGACCCAATTTCAACATTTCAGAAGCTCAGTGGAAACCTGCATCTGACTGAATATAAGTGGCCTGACTTAGGTTATGTGATCAGTCTTCATGCATAAGTTTAATTTTATGAACACATTTTTAAGATGCTTAAGAGGGTCTCAGTACGAGATCGAAATGAAGAATATTAATTTTATTATATGTTATATTGCCTTCATGTGAACTCGTTTGTGCCAGTGACCAGTTAATAAACTTGTGGAAATTTAGCACGATGTTCCTTTTCTTACCTTTTTCAGGTTAACATGTGGGACTCAGTACTGAGTATGGAGATGATAGCGGACATGGCCGCCTGTGAGTACGATCCTCAGGGTAACTACATATCCTGGGAGGGAGGATGGGACCTTCACAATATTACGGAGTATCAAGCTTCTCTCGAGTACTTTTGCGAACAAATCACAGACATTGTATACTTTGGGTTCCCCAAACTGTCAAAACCTCAGGCGTTTTACATTTGTGAGGCTCTGGGCTCTCACCTGCCTCTTCCGACGACCATAAATGAGGTTAACTTCTGGTACAATCTCTCCTATCGTGTTTGGCCTGATCAGCTAGACTTATTTATGTGCAGTGGATCCTTCTGGACTCCAATCACTGACGTTATGCACGATGGTATATGGGTCATCCACTATGACAACACCATTGCCTCATCTGTAGCCTGGAAGGTTGGGGAACCTAATGGCTTGTTCTACGAGAACTGCGCCATCATTGAACAATCCGGCATTGCAGACACTGACTGCGCCACGAACGAAAGGTGCGCAATATGTGAATTCCGCGAGCTACAAATCTTCTCCTTTCTGGGAACATGCGAGTTAGAAGACCGCAATGTCCACTACAGTGCCTTCCAAGAGGATCTGGGAGATCTATATTTTAAAGGATATGGAGAGTACCACATCCGGAAGGTGGATGACGACTGGTTGTGGATCAACGTAGTGACAAACAAGACACTAGCTAGGCTAGACCCCGACGCGCCTTTCGGCATGCCCATGGGGCGTCGTGTCTGGTATCTTGAGACAACAGTTTGTGACCAACGAGAAGGTTCACGGACTCTCGTTCTCACGCCTTGTGGGGCTAACAGTTATACCTGTGATGATGCGACATGCATAGCCCATGAGAACCGTTGTGACCACAAGTACGACTGTCTCGATCACAGCGATGAGGTTGGCTGTGAGCTCATCAGGTTCCCGGAAGATTACAACAAGGATCTGCCGCCAGAAATGAGTGATAAAGAAGGCAGCGCGAACTTGCCATTAACTTTGAACATTAGTATCGAGTTCACCAACATCTACACCATGCAGATGGTGATGCAGGTGTCTTATAAGATTCAGATGATTTGGTTCGATAATCGACTCGTTTATTGTAACCTGAAGGCTAACCACAGACTCAATAAGGTGAACTACACAAACATGATGAGCCTCTGGTTACCCACCGTTGGGTTCATCAACACAGAGGGGCACCAACGTACGACGGTCGACGAAGAATCTTCACTGTACGTGCGGAGGTTGCAGCCAGCCAGGTTGAGGGATAACAGCTTCTCCCGCGAGAGTAAGACACTCGCTTCTATTGTTTACATATCACGCTCATGCTAGTGTAATTAATTTCCTACGTGAATACTAGCGTATGTACGTAGGTGTGTACGTGTGAGTGTATATGTATGCGTGTGCGAAAATATGCTGGTACTTACATTTGGGTATGTATGTACGGAAGTATGCTTGTGTGTACATACGCGTGTGCATATATACTACTGATGTATGCGTTTAGATGCATATGCATACATGTTTGTGCTTACCATTGCATATGCGTACGCACAGACAACACAAATTTGAGTAAAAGGACACAAGTGCGACTAATGCGACGTTTTATTGTAGGAACGTTTCGCTCTCCAGGAGCTTTGTCAAGCCAACATTACCAGCATTATTGCAACACAAAATTAGCCAGACACCTAGGCTCTTCAGAGTAATATACCAACTCTTCCAATTTGCTTGAAAAAAAAAAAAACGCGAAACAAATGAAACTTGTCAGGTGCTGCCATAGACTGTCATGGCTCAAGGAACACGGGAACTATGGTGCCCAGGGCCACTGATCTCTCTCTATTACCACAATTTACAGAACATCATTATTAAAATAATTAACCTTAATTAGGTATCCTCGCATAGGAACCTTATTGTGATTACCTGAATTATATTTTAACCTCAAGGATTTTATTTATTACTTGAGAACGCCTCGATCGTATATAAATTTTGAATACTGGTGTACTGTAACAAGGCGAAGAGGCTCTTGACTTTGTAAATGGTCCAAGCCGGACCATTTACAATTTTCCAAGTGCGGAATATTTTTGTATTGTTCCAGTCACGGTATTGTGCCTTTTTGGTCTTTTCAAGGCATTAGATCTTTCGTCTTCTTCCTCGGATCAAATATAAATACTCCCACCCCTTTCCCTCTTTACACTCGGCCTCCTTATTTGAGGATATTTTCCCTCTTAGTAAATTTCAACACCTAGACAAAGAGAAGAGGGATTGTCCGTCCACCTTCATTGTGAGCCTCAGTGGTGGTGCTGATCGCTATGAGAACTGGATTATCTGGGAACGTGCTGGTCCTCCCTTCAGGGACCTGGTGGCCGGCCTCGCCCCTCCTTGAATGATGGAAGTGTTCCCATAGGCCGCCTCTACCTGGAGTCTACCTGGAGGTTATTCTGGGGATCAACGCCCCCGCGGCCCGGTCCACGACCAGGCCTCCCGGTGGATCAGGGCCTGATCAACCAGGCTGTTACTGCTGGCTGCACGTAGCCCAACGTACGAACCCCAGCCCGGCTGATCCGGCATTGACTTTAGGTATCTGTCCAGCTCCCTCTTGAAGGCAGCCAGGGGCCTATTGGTAATTCCCCTTATGCTTGGTGGGAAGCTGTTGAACAGTCTTGGGCCCCGGACACTTATGGTGTTTTCTCTTAGTGTACCAATGGCGCCCCTACTTTTAATTGGGGGTATTTTGCATCGCCTGCCCAGTCTTTTACTTTCGTAGGGAGTGATTTCTGTGTGCAGATTCGGGACCATTCCTTCTAGGATTTTCCAAGTGTAGATTATGATATATCTCTCTCTCTCCTGCGTTCCAACGAGTACAAGTCAAGTGCTTCCAAGCGTTCCCAGTAGTTAAGGTGCTTGACAGAACTTATACGTGCAATAAAGGTTCTCTGTACACTCTCTAGATCTGCAATTTCACCTGCTTTGAACGGAGATGTTAATGTACAGCAGTATTTCAGCCTAGAGAGGACAAGTGATTTGAAAATTATCATCATTGGCTTGGCATCTCTTGTTTTGAACGTTATCATTATCCATCCTATTATTTTCTTTGCACTTGTGATCGTGGCACTGTTGTGATCCTTGAAAGTGAGATCCTCAGACATTACTACTCCCAGGTCCCTTACATTATTTTTCTGCTCCATTGTATGGCCAGAGCTTGTAGTATACTCTGTTCTAGTTATTATCTCCTCCAGTTTTCCATAACGGAGTAGATGGAATTTATCCTCATTGAACATCATATTGTTTACCGTTGCCCACTGGAAAACTTTGTTTATATCTTCTTGGAGGTTAACCGCGTCCTTAATAGATGACAGTCTCATGCAGATCCTAGCATAGTCTGCAAAGGATGATACGGTGCTGTGGATTACTTCTCTGTCTGATATGAGGATGAGGAACTGGATGGGGCGAGTACTGTGCCTTGTGTAACAGAGCTCTTCATTATGGCAGCCTCCGATTTAACTCTATTGACCACTACTACTTGTGTTCGATTGGTTAGGAAGTTGAAGATCCACGTCCTCACTTTGCCAGTTATTCCTTTAGCACGTATTTTGTGCGCTATTACACCATGATCGCACTTGTCAAACGCTTTTGCAAAGTCTGTGTATATTACATCTGCATTCTGTTTTTCTTCCAGTGCATCCAAGGCCATATCATAGTGATCCAGTAGTTGTGAGAGGCAGGAACCGATGTTCTGGATTGTGCAGTTTTTGGGAATCCAGGGGGGCTCTGGTGGCCTGGTGGTTAACGCTCTCGCTTCACACGGCGAGGGCCTGGGTTCGATTCCCAGCCAGAGTAGAAACATTGGACGTGTTTCTTTCCACCTGTTGTCTATGTTCCCCATCAGTAAAATGGGTACCTGGGTGTTAGTCGACTGGTGTGGGTCGCATCCTGGGACACTGACCTAAGGAGGCCTGGTCACAGACTGGGCCGCGGGGGCGTTGACCCCCGGAACTCTCTCCAGGTAAACTCCAGGTAGGTGGTTTGCAATCATGCTTCTTAGCACTCTTTCAAAGATTTTTATGATGTGGGACGTTAGAGCCACCTTTATGGAGTGGGGCTATATCCGTTGTTTTAAGTGACTGTGGAATTTCACCCATGTCTAAGCTCCTTCTCCATAGTATACTTAGGGCACGTGAAAGGGTTTTCTTGCGGTTCTTAATGAACACAGAGTTTCACGAGCCTGGGCCTGGGGCTGAGTGCATGGGCATGTTGTCAATGCCTTTTTCAAAGTCTATCGGAGTTAGGGTAATGTCGAAAATCTGGCGTACATTGATGGGATTTGGAGGCTCATTCATGAAGAAATCATTTGGATTGTCGATCCTCAGACTGATTAATGGCTCACTAAACACAGAGACGTACTGGGATTTCAGTATTTCACTCATTTCCTTGTTGTCATCTGTGTAAGTCCCATCTTTTCTGAGTAAGGGCCTGATACTGGATGTGGTATTTGCCTTGTTTTTGGCATATGAAAAGAAATATTTCGAATTTCTTTCAATTTCACTAATAGCTTTAAGTTCCTCCTGTCTCTTCTGGTTCCTGTAAGAGTCCTTTAAGTTCGATAATTTCCACTTCCCTGGTCAGCGCTTCCTTCCGTGTATCAGTGTATCAGATATTCTAGCGTTCCTGAGGAGCTCAGTGATTCTTTGTCGTCTTCTGTAGAGGGAGCGTTTTTCTCTCTCCAGTTTAGTTCTGCTCTTCTTCTTTCTTAGGGGAATATGCAAAGAACATGCTTCAGCTGCCAGGAAGCTGACCCTTTCAAGGCACTGGTTTGGATGCATGTTATTTAAGATATCTTCCCAACATGTTTCATTTAAGACATATTTACCTGGTCCCAGTTGATGTTCTTGTTGTTTAAATTGTATTTTGTGAAGACACCTTCACAGTTACATGCATTCTGCTGATCAGGACCCCTATGCATGTAAGTCTGGACTTCGATTAGATTGTGTTTGGAATTAGCTGTTTTTGATATTGTCTCTTATCAGGTTCTCATTATTTGTGTAGATAAGATAGTGTGTTTTCTAGTCTAGTTGGTTCCACTATCTGCTGGCTTAAGGTGTGTTTCTCGCAGAGACTTAGTAGCTCATGTGTGTGTGACCTTTCATCTGCGCTACCTCCGGGGATTGTTTCAGCTATAACATTATTTGCTACATTCTTCCATTTTGTATGCCTTAGGTTGAAATACAGAGCAGCAAGATGTTTGGGGATGGAGCTGGAAGGTTTTCCAAACAGTAATCAATTTTCAGTAGCTGTTCCTTGAACTGTTGGGAGATTGCATCTGGTGGCTTATATACAACCACAATGACTAGGTTTTGGTTCTCGATCTTTATTGATAGAACTTCAACTACATCATTTGTGGTGTTCAGCAACTCCATGCAGATGAGCGACTCTTTGACATACAGGTCAACCCCCCCTTGTTGCCTGTTCTTTCTGTCGCATCTTAAAAGGTTGTAACCACTTATTCATATTTCACTGTCAAAGTGATCTTTTGTGTGAGTCTCTGTGAAGGCTGCAAACATTGCATTAGACTCCTCTAGAAGCCCACTGATAAAAGGTATTTTGTTGTTGGTGGATGGCTTAAAGCCCTGTATATTAGCAAATATAAACGAGGTTGTATTCTGTTTTTGTTGGGGGATTTTGTTATTGGTATCATTAGTTGTAGTTCTGGAGGGCCATGGGTGGCCACTGGCTGTGCCTCCAGTCCAACAAGGTTCAAGGTGGTGGACTATTTTATTTCCTTCCATTTTCTTTTTGCATTTCCTGCCACTAAAAATCACCAGGAGTTGGGTTGTCGTAGCTACTATTGTTTGTCTCGTGGGGTCTGTGCCTCCTGGTCCCTTTAAGATGGTATGCAGGGCAGTCGATGTTGTAACACTGTTTCTGGAGGACCGAGGAGTGACACATTTTTGGGTGAAAAAGTACAGGAAGAAGAACGACACACTCCTTTAAACAGGAAGTCACTACATTTTTTGGGATGCTCAAAGTTGCATGTCCCATTTTTTCCCTGATATTCCATGCTTACAGATGCCCCAAACATAGTATTTGCACAATTTCACTTTTGGTTGGATAGAATTGTTGGGAGGTGTGCTGTCAATTTCTGTAGTTTCTGGGACTGTACTATAATCCTCAGTATCCACGCCAGGGCCACCCTGTCCTGGATTCCATCTACTTTCCTCAGTAGAAGAAGTAGGAGACTCCTCCCCTACATCTGTAATGTGGGCTATGGTCTTGTGCAATGATGGTTGTATATTT